CTAGTGTGGGCACGTCAGGACCAAACAGACGGCGCAGAGCTTGCCACGCGAGCTACTCAATGGACGACCTGAGGGACCAAAAAAATGTCGCCGAGGCAGGTCTCCGAGCCGACGGGCCAATTTCCCACGCCGGACACGAAATTTGAACACCGAGGCCAACGCAGCAGCAGGCCGCATCTATTGGGTACGTGACAGGAAGGGGTCGGCGCAACAAGGGGACAACGGAACCACGACCGAGAATAGGCCAAGAGGGGGGGAGTGCACTAGTAGGCAGGCAGACAGCTCAACTGGCCAGGACAAAGTGAGTTTTTTCGCCCGCCAAACGCAGAAAGATCAGAAACGACAAAGGGCCCGCGAGGGAACAGGGCAGGAGTCTGGGTAGTCTGGCGAGCAACGTGCCGTGGACACGCTGTGGGCAGCGGGACAAGAGGCTGTCAAAGGCACCGCTGGCCGCTGGAACGGCAGGGCCGCAGAAAGAAGAACCACAACATCGGACGGAGGGGACCGCCTGGAAAGTTTGCGGACACAGCGCAGACCACGAACCTACTGCCGAGCACCCCGCGAAGAAAAAATGCGAAAAACGGACGAGACGCCGATGGCGTCGACAAATTATGCTGAAGGGGACTTCCCAGAATCGCCCTCCCCCCCCTCTGCGGCACACTTCAAAGAAACAAATGAAGCAGCGCGCCCCGGCATGACGCCGCTTGTTCCGCCGCGCCCGTCGAAGTGCTGCCTTCTGATGGTACCCCCATGCCGCCGCCCTCCCTCTAATCGTGACCGTGTCTCCGACTGCATACAGAAACTCCGCCGCGGGCGCGCCGTGAGCACATTCACTGCACTGCGGTTCCGCTCTTGTCTCGGCCATGGCACACACCTCCTGGCACACACGGAGCAACCGCACTGTTTTCTCAGCGCCGCCTCGGCGCGTTTCGCCACAAGCTTGTGTTGCGTTTGGGCGCGTGGAGGGGGGTGGGGGGCGTCGCGCGGTCTGGCGGGAGCGAACGCCGTCGTGGTGTCCCCAAAGATTGCGCGCGGCTTTCTTCGAGGGTTTTCTGGTGTTTCGCGCGATCAGGGCAAAGAAAAAGCGAGAAAAAAAAAAAAAAAAAAAAAAAAACAACAAAAAAAAAAAAAAAAAAAAAAAAAAAAAAAAACGTGCAAAAGCCCGCCACATCGTGTTTGCCGGGCGCCTCCATCATTCATTTCTCGCCCTCCTTCCTCCCGTGTCTCCTCCCCCCTCCCCTCCCTCACACACACGCCCCCCCTTCCCCTCCCTCACACACACGCCCCTTCCTCTGATCCCTTGGGCCTTCGAAACCAAAGTCGCCCCCAGCACGGGTTGGCCCGAACGAGGCTTGCCGAGTCCAGCCTCGAAACGGGCCTTTCCCGAGCCCCACTGGTCTCCATCCCGCCCCGTTCACTGCGTCCCCAGCCTGGGCCGAGAACGCCTGGTGTGCCAACTCGCTACGAGTTCTGACCAGCGCCGACGCTGGTTGCACAGCGGGCGCGAAGGCTACTTATCGCCACTGGCCAGCTTTCTGCCCTGCGGCATGCAGAAGATCAGAAAGAGAGCGAAAGAAAGCGGAAGCGCACAGATCAATGCAGAATCCCTGAGAATCACACCGAACTCGTTGTTCTAAATAAACCAGCAACTCAACAAATAAACAAACACAGACCACAGACAAACAAACAAACAAACGAACGAACGAACGAACGAACAAACAGTTTAGCATGCAAACAATCCAACAAAACAAACAAACAAGCAAACAAACAAGCACTCAAACCAACAAACAAACAACCAAAGAAACAAACAGGCAAACAAGCAAACAAACAAACAAACAAACAACCAAACAAACGAACAAACGAACACACAACCAAACAAACCAGCGAACAAAAAAAACAAGAGGCAAACGAAAGAAACAAGGAATCAAAAACAGACAAACAGCCATGCAGACAGGCAGGAAGGCAGGCGGACAGACAGACAGACAGACAGACGAGCACACAAACAGGCAGGCAAGCAGGCAGGCACAGACATACAGACAGGCAGACAGACAGACAGACTGACAGACAGGCAGGCAGACAGACATGCCAACAAGCAAACGAAGGAAGGATGCACCACGGAAGCACACATTGCAGCCCATGTGTCTCCCTAGTCCAGTTCTGATTCAGGCGTTGCGCGCTTGGTGTCTGACATGTGGGAGGCAGAGAATATCTACTAGGCGTGGCACAACACCTTGACAAAGCGGCGGTCTGGCGGCCGCGATTTGCACGAAGTCCAGTCGCCGCGTACAATAATATCCGACGAGGCGGCAAGTTTGAAATAGCATGTGCCAATGAAGCCCCCACGGACGCGACAGTTATGCTTTCATTTCCCAGCCCGACATTCACAGGTTGGGCGCCTGCGTGAAACACAGTGCCCACATGCGCGTATACATGCCGCTGACGTGCAAAACCCATGATGAAATCCAGGCGCGCAGTCGTGGACAACGTAGTGAACGTTCTACAGTAAACGGATGCACGCGCTGTGCTCCAACACTCCTTCGGCAACGCTGCGAACAGTGATGCTGTGTTTACCACAGACGCGGCTGGCAAAGCGTACCCTGATATTTGCTGGAGATGGTCACGCATGCGCGCGTGCTAAGCAAATGCTTGAACTGCATACCCGCAGCACGTGCAATACGAGATCGCCATAAACTTGTGTTGAATGTCTCAGACGACCGATCTGTTCACAATTATCCAAATCAGTCCCATATCGATATGTCGCCCTGTCAAAGTAGCTAGAGCCTCATGGTCGGATAACTCTTTCGGAAGCCTTGCAACCAGGACTTCCGTATACGCACTACAAGACACCGCTGGTCAATACGAACAGAACAGTAAGGGTCCTCTCTCCAGCGGTGCACGGTCGGAAACTGGTTCAGGGCTGCACAGTTCTCCATAAAACGCCCTCAGGTACGTCATAGTTCAACTGTTTGCGCGACGTCCCTAGCAGCGCCTACACCCAGAGCCACCCAGCGAAAATGGGAAATCACCGACAGCTGCTTGCACCAACAGATCAGCAACGACACCTCAAGACAATCGCACCAAACGCGGACATGCTTTTGAGCGAGCGGCGTGCGACAGGCATCCACAAGCTGGGCTGGGGTCAACGTAAGCCGTCTATCGCTTCTCTTACGCAGGGGGCTACTGCTTGGTTACTTGCCTTCTTGCGTGGGGGTGCGGTTTCGAAATCAAATGCGGAGTTGGACGCGCGTACAATTCCATGGTACGCACGTAGAAAACAAGGCCATGCGGAGTCCACCTTCCGAGACGGGTCTTTACCGCGCCAGTGGGGCCTTTGCGAACGCAGGGTAGAGGTCAGCACCGCCGTCCGATAACCAGGCACAACGAAGCATTGCCATGCAGCACGTGCGAGGCATTCTCTTTCGCCCGGCGCAACGTCGACCCCTTTCTTTGGGAAACAAGGCGGCCACCTCCTATAGCTTACGACAACTACCTCCAGGGGCCTTCACGCCACCGTGCCCTCGACGCTCCCATCCGCCACCGTGCCAGGGGCAATGAGCGCAGCGCCATCAGGCCTTCGACGATCCTCCAAAACTGAACGCCGATATTCTTTGAGGACCCTGGGCCCCAGACACACGGGCCCTTCTGGATCCCCAGGGACGCTCGCGTGTGACCGCTCCCCCCGAGTCCTCGGAAGCGTCGCTCCGAATCCAGGCCTACGGCGTGCCCGCAGGTGGCCCCGGGCGCCCGTGGGCCCCATCGGCCCCCCTCCTGGGGGTCGGCCCGAGAAGCCCGGATCTCCCAGACGCCTTGCGCGCTGCTCTGCGAGCCTAGAGCCCGGGATCGCCCCAAGGTGGCCCGGCAGGGGGCCCACCTGGCCCCGGAGGGTCCCCGGGGGGAGGGCGGGAGGCCCAGAGGGGGGGAAGCGCGAAGAGGCCGCGGCCTCAGGAAGCCTCCCTCCACAGAGGATCCCAGAGACCGCCAGCGGGCCCCAGGGTGGCCCCAAGAAGACCTCCATGAGGACCCCACGGGCTCCTCGAGGCCTCCAAGTAGCCCCGAAGAGACTCGAAAGACACCCAAAGAGGCCTCTGGTCCACGACACGGGCACGGCGGCGGGCCCATGGCCCGCGGAGGGGTGCCAGCAGGCCAGGCGTATGACTCCCCTGGCTCGTCCAGACTGGCTTTCGCCCGACCCGCCGACATCCCAAGCAGCGGATCACATGGGCTTCTCCGCCCAAGAAGGCTCTAAGAGGGTCTGCGGACAGCGCACATGAGCCAAGATGGCCTCCAAGACTGTCACAAGACGCCTCCAAGACGGCCAAGATAGCTCAAAAGTGGCGCCAAGAGACCTCCAAGCTGGACAAAGGTGCCTCCACGACGGCCCCAAATGGCTCGAAGGCGGCCCAATCAACCCCCGATGCGTTGCCGGAGAAGGATACGTGTTCTCACCTTTTCAAGATTCCGACAACCCAAGACGGTCACAGAGGTCTTCAAAAGAGTCCCAAGAGGGCCAAAGGGGGGACCAAGACAATCGAGAGAAGCCCCCAAGACGCCCTTCGAAGGCGTCGGGCAACAGCCCTCAAACAGCCCAAGAGGCCCTCAGGAGGCCTTCAAGAGGCTTTCAAGAGGCCTTCAAGAGGCCATCCTAAGGCCTCCAGGAGGGTCTATGAAGCCAATCAGAGGCCCCCAAGAGGACCCGAGGAAGCCCCCGAGAGGGCCTCAAGAGACCTCCTCCACATTTACATCTCCCAAGTGTTTCCCGAAGGGTTTCCACAACGGCTGGGGGGGAACGCATAGACTATCAGCGTGGCCAGACGCTGGCCTAACATTTGGCCACACAGGCACTTCCAAAAGGCAGGGGTTGGTGGTGGTTCGCCGTGGGCGTCTTCGACAATGGGCAGGTTTACCAGAACGGACAGCGAGTCTCCCGCTGCACGTCGTCGGCTTCCGCTCGCCTCGAGTGCTCGCACTCCCTCGCAGCCGCCCGCACGGGGGCCCGTCTCCTCGCACTCGTAGCCGCGGCACTTCTTCGCCAGATGCAGGGAGCACGCCTCTGGAGATCTGCACGGCTCTCCTCCTCCTACTCCTCCTCCTCCTCCGCCTCCTCCTCCTCCTCGTCCTCCTCCTCCTCCTCCTCCCTCCTCCTCCTCCTCCTCCTCCTCCTCCTCCTCCTCCTCCTCATATCCGCATCATCATCCTCATCCTCATCCTTCTCATCGTTCGTGCGATCATCCCGAGGTGGTGCCAGCGCGTGGACCCCATGCGGTTGATAGGTGCAGCACTGCGTGTGGAGCCCTGAGGATCTCAACCGCGGCCGGGGAAGGTTCACTTCGCATCAGCAGGAGTGCAGAGCCCAATGTGTGGAACTAGCTATGTGCAACCCAATGTTCGGAGCCCTGTGAAGGGTGGGACTGTGTGTGGAACTGCATGTACGGATCTCTGTGTGACGCAAGGCCATCGCAAGCCGAGCAGCCAAAACTGTAGCGGTCCAAGCATCCACGGGCGAGGGCGGCAGACACGCCACGGCAACCCAGGCACCCACTGGCAAGGGCGAGACAGGTCATAGCGATCCAAGCATGAGCACCCACGGGCGAGTGCGGGGCACAGTGCCATAGCGGTCCAAGCACCCACGGACGAATGCGGGAGACAGGACGTAGTGGTACAAGGAGGTATGGGCGCGCACGAGAGACAGGTAGCCCAGGCACCCGCTGCCCAACCCTGGAGCACAGCACTGGTTCCTCACAACCCACGTAAGAATCCCATGAGTGCCAGTCTGAAGCACAAGACAAGGCGCTGCCACAACTCAGTGGAAGTATTTACGTACCGACCTCTCTCCAGGGCCATTTTAGGGGCTGTATAGGAGCCTCTTGTGAGACCCTTTGGGAATCTTGGGGCAGCGTGTCGAAGAACGTGCCGTCGGCGGGTGGCACGCCACACAATGGTGATCCATAAAGCCAATCTTAAGCAGCCCGCCGCAGGCGCCGATACTGTTGTTCAAAGCAACGCGCGTAGGTCACGCGTGGTCGCGGGATGGTCGCAGGTGGATCGGATCACGGGTGGGTCGCGGCGCGGGTGGGTCGAAGTGCAGGTGGGTTGCGGGTGATCGAGGCTGGTGATGCGCGCGTGGGTCGTGGAGCGGATCGCGGGGCAACGACAACAAGAAGAACGGAAAAATGAACAACTGCAACGACCATCCGCACCGTGGAAACACATATCAGCCACGCACCCATGAACAGTAAAAGCCCGCGCGGTCCACTCGCACGATGCGCACATCGCCTGCACACATACAAAGCACATCAACTGTGTGAAGGACGAAAAAGCATGTGTACGTGCGTATATCTGCATGGATATATGTAGGTATGCCTACATGTACACAGGCACAACTGTATCGCGCTGCACGCATCACACTCCACCGTAGCGAACACACCACAGAATTCCACTGCATTGCAAAAGCACTATGTTGCAGCGCGCTCTAGTTGCATCCTACGTTACCCTATTCTGGTCCAAACCTGCCAACACGCCTCACATTACATACACTGCACCTGGACCAGGCATCACCAAAAACACTGCCCTGGTCACTACTTCTCCAGCCTCCTGCGAGCTCGGCGAGGGGAGCCTCGAAATCCGAGTTCCGACATGCGATTCAAGCAAGCACAGCTCAACACTAGCTTACAACCGAGGAGGGGTGAAGAGCGGGAGCAGACCGACACATTAACTCAAGATCGCTTCCGCTTCTGCCCTGGTTTTTTCCCGTGGTCGACTCTGAACTGCACGGAGTGCCAAGCCACCAGGCAGACGCGTGCGCGGGCAAGTAAGCCCAGATACTGCGCACCTCAAACACACCTCAACGAGTTGTCACACTCGCATTCGGGAGGAAGAAGCGGGGCTGAGCGGACACCACGGCAACATACGGAAAAACTGGCACCTGAAGTTGCCCCTGAAGTGTCCCGAAAGTGTCCCTTGTGCGGCCCACGAGCGCTGTACACATAGACTCTTCGGCACGCCTCGTGAGTCGCCGCCCCATTTATGTCCAGCTGATCATGCGGTTTCTCCGCCTCTCGCGATCAACACCCATGAGAATCGCAAGCAAGCAAGCAAGCAGGGCGTGTGGTTCGAAAAGTCCTGGTGCCTCTCGGCGTCCAACCGCGCTTCGAACAACAAAAGACCGACGAGCAGATGAGGCAGGGCTTCCGATCCAGACTCTGGGCTCAAGCGGCGGACCCAAGTCGCGAGCACTTGGGAGCGAGGCGGTGGCCTCAGACTCGGCGAGGAGGCACCCCAAGAGGAACGCAGCGCCGCGCAGGGGCGGCATTGCTCTCGCCCCAGCCCCCTCGGGGTGCCCCGAAGCGCGCGCGCGCGCGGCCGCGCTGCCGCCCGCCAGGGTGCACTCGAGCCACGGGCTGGGAAGAAAGAACGCCCCGCAACTGCACGGATGGTGTGTGAAGGACAGCTGCCGCGCGCAGGAGCGGGAGAAGGCAGAGCGCCCGCAGTGTGCAGGAGTCGAGTCCTCTGCACTCCGCCGCTCGCGTCCGCTGTCCTCAATATCCCGTGTTGCGACCTGCGGAGAGCAAGGCAAGACGCCGCGTCGCAGAGCAGTCAGAACTCCACAAAACAGCGTCTCGCTGGCATGATGCTTTATCAGATGCACGGCGTGACTCGTGGAAGGTAGACTGTGGCCAGTGTACAGCGGTGACCAGGGCGCGACCAGGGCATCCCTGCCCGCAAATTGCCCGCAGTCGGCCCAGCACCCAGACCGCGTCTGCTCGCAATCCGCAGAGCCCCCCTTTGCAGAAGCACACGGACATCGAATTTCAGGCAAGCCTGCTGATTGAGACGACCCTGGTGCTGAGTCCAGGCTCTACGTAGGAGGAAGCTGCCAGCGGGACCGCGGCACACAGCGCAGACGTGCCGCTGACAAAGACAGTGGACCGATCGGTGTTATCATTGATGCGGCGTTGGCGGCGGTACTCGACCAGCGAGGGGCCTGCCAAAGCACTCCCAGAAGAGAGGGAAGAGGAGGGGCAGGGAAGACGGAGGAAATGGGAGAAGACCAAGGGGGTTGAAAGGAGCGACCACCTCTGCGGACAGTCGTACAGGCCTGACTAAGGCCAGGCCGCTGAGGCCGCGGGTTGCGTACTCTGGTCCGTCTGGGCCTCGTGTTTCAACTACTCGCGGAAACGGCCGTTGCTGGGACCGTCCCTCCCCCCATCCCTCCACAAATCACGTCACATTTCGCGATGGCGCCGCCTGGGACTACGGGCACCTAAAAAAATCCCAGACGGCGCTTGCGCAAATCGTGACATTGCCAGCCCCCTTTCCCGCGGGCACTCCCCAGTAACGCCCGCGGTCGCCAGAAGACAACAAAACCAGGCTCCTGGAAAACGTGCTTCGGAACTGCGGAGCGAGTCAGAAGCTGCGGGAAGAGAGGAGGACAGGGAGCGACTGCCGCGACGGCGGCGGTGGCCGCGGTGGCGGCGACGGGCTTTGGCGCGTCGGCCGCCCACGCAACAACAGCCGAGCGCTCGGCTTGCGACGGCGGCGCCGGCGCCCGCGGCCGCCGCCGCAGCAGAGGCGGCTGCATTCAGGACGCCCGCCGCTCGTGCCGCGGGCCAGCCGGCTCGCCGCGGCGGGGGGCCACGGCGGACGGTGGCGGGCGCGGCGGCGAGCGTGGCGGCGAGCGCGGCGGCGGGCGCGGCGGCGCGAGCGGCGGCGGGCGCAGCGTTTTGGGTATCGGGCGCCGCGCCGTCGGCCGCCCGCGCGCGGGCTCGGGGGGCGGCGCCCGCGCCGCGGCCACCAGGCTGCCCTCGGGGGCTCCGCCGCCACCCTGCGGCGCGCGCGGCCGCGGTTTCGCCGCCGCCGCCGCGCAGCCGCCGCCGCCGCCGCCGCGGCAATCGTCGTCGTCGTCGTCGTCGTCGTCGTCGTCGTCGTCGTCGTCGTCGTCGTCGTCGTCGTCGTCGTCGTCGTCGTCGCTGTCGCCGTCTTGCTTTCGATGTTCTTGGGCGGTTTGGGGCCCCTTTGTGCACGCTGGGGAAGCAACGTGGCCATAGCTGGATCTGCCTCAAGATTCTAGCTAGGACGCGCCCCGTTTCATAACCCGACGTCGTCCGAGGATTTGGCATTTCCCAACCATCTTTTGGTGTTGGGTCCTTGTTTTGCAGCGACAGTGCACGGCGTTCCTCCTCC